TTATGGTTCAAGGCGAAACAAATTTCTGTCAAAGATTTTTGGCAACGACCATAAACATGGTCATATTAATAACAAAAATAAATTTGATATCTTCTATATGTAGGTTTTCACTCTGAATGACTTCCTTCATCTTAAGCATCACTTGATTTCATGAATTTAAATTTTCTGTAGATTATACCGCACGACCAATATCTATATGGAAATGATTATCAAGGAATTTTGGTCTTCCGATTCTGGAATTTAGGCCAGTGGAAAACTGTGTATATTGACGACACACTTCCAGTGGACAAAGATGGTGAACTTATCTACGGTAAATGCACCAAAAGTAATGAGTTCTGGCTACCTCTTTTGGAGAAAGCGTTCGCAAAGTAAGTGGCAGTTTTCTTTCTCGTTAACGTCAAGCTTGTTAAGTTATTAACTTATGATGTTAATAATTGTTTTATGTTATAGCTGTCTTATTTATCAGCATATACAACCAATAAAACCAATTAAATGCGACCATTAATTAATGAATGTTTCGTTTCAAAGCAAGTTTGAAAATCCTATCAGAAATTTTTAAGGTCTTATCTAGTGTTTAATTGTATTTATTCAATAAATAAATGTTGATTATCATTACTTGCCAAACATGCAGTAGGAATGGTTATTTTGTAAAGTCTCAAACATCCTATTTTGTAACATTTTTGCAAAGTAAGTGCTTGTTGTGGATAATTTTTTAAGTCTTATATATTCCCTCAATGGGATGACTTTGTTATTTTCAGGTTCCATGGGGGATACAGTGACATCGAATGGGGATTTCCAAGTGAGGCGTTTTTGTGTCTCACCGGTTACATAATTGAAGATTTCGTGGAAATAAATCTCAAAGAACGTCAGTTGTATGATGTATTTGCAAAGGAAATCCAACACAATTCCCTCATCGCGGCTGCAGCATTGGTGAGAAACATCAGAATTTAAACTATGTCGATATGGACAGCATTAAGCCTTTTAATATTGTTTTTTAGAACCAAGATGTACAGTCGCAAACTTACACACAGTATTTATAACATTAATAAATTGCATTTAAGCATTGTTCTCGGCAGTCTCTCTCTCTCCTCTCCCTCTCTCGGAGTCTCTCTCTCTCCCTCTCGCTCTCTCGGAGTCTCTCTCTCTCCCCTCTCCCTCTCTCGCGAGTCTCTCTCTCTCCCTCTCTCGAAGTCTCTCTCTCCCCCTCTCCTCGGAGTCCTCTCTCTCCCCCTCTCCCTCTCTCGAGGTTGCTCTCTCTCTCCCTCTCCCTCTCTCGGAGTCTCTACGTCTCTCCCTCTCCCTCTCTCGGAAGTCTCTCTCTCTCCCTTTCCCTCTCTCGAAGTCTCTCTCTCTCCCTCTCCCTCTCTCGGACTTCTCCCTCTCTCGAGTCCCTCCTCCTCTCCCTCTCTGGAGTCTCTCTCTCTCCTCTGCCCGTCTCTCGGAGTCTCTTCTCTCTCTCTCCTCTCGTCGGAGTCTCTCTCTCTCTCCCTCTTGCGGAGCTCTCTCTCTCGGTCTCTCGTCTCTCCCTCTCTCGGAAGTCTCTCTTCTCCCTTCTCGGAGTCTCTCTCTCTCCTCTTCTCGGAGTCTCTCTCTCTCCTCTCTCGGAGTCTCTCTCTCTCCCTGCCTCTCGGAGGGTCTCTCTCTCTCCCTCTCTCGGAGAGAGAGTCTCTCTCTTCTCCCTCTCTCGGAGTCTGCTCTCTCTCCGCTCTCTCGAGTCTCTCTCTCTCCCTCTCTCGGAGTCTCTCTCTCTCCCTCTCATCGGAGTCTCTCTCTCCTCCCCTCTCTCGGAGTCTCTCTCTCTCCCTCTCTCGGAGTCTCTCTCTCTCCCTCTCTCGGAAGTCTCGTCCCCCTCTAGTCTCTCCCTCTCTCGGAGCTTCTCTCTCCTCTCCGCTCGGTCTCTCTCTCTCAGAGTGTTTTCTCTGAGAATGAGCTCAACCTGCGCATCTTGAGAATTGCGTAAACGGACATTTTCTTTAAAATGATTGCCAAATTCTGTCAATGAAATCTCCCGTAAGTTTTATTATCTTCTATTAGTATTCTTTCAAGTCGTATTTTCAATTCTCATCTCAAATTTTATACTCAACCTATACAATAGAATTTTCAACTTGTATGGTTAAATAAAAAAAATAAACAAATAAAAAATCAATTTCTACCATAAAAATTGAGAAGATTGTTAAAAATTATCGTTAGATGGCAGGTCGGGAAAGGATGCGAACAAAACAATAGCTAAACTAGTTCAGAGATGTACAAAACTTAATATAAGATAATATGTTAAGTGACATTTAATTTTCATCGTATATGTTGACTTTTTTTAATTTTTGAAGGTATTGGTTTGCTGTTATAATTTGTCTCCAAGCTCTCTTCGTGATTTAGTGCACAGTAAATCACTATAAAGCTACGTATCTATGAGATTTTACGAAGAAATTTGCTCTATGGTAATTCAAAATCTATTTGGTATTAATATTTCTAGTTACTTTCATGAGAATCCACAAATGTTCAATAATTTATATTTGAAGTGATATTACCTCATTTACATTGTTAAAAATATTTTAGCTTTGAAAATAACGCACTCTTTTTCGGCATGTCTCATCCAGGGGGGGGGGGGAGAGGCGGGGGTCGAGGAGTAAGGTGGGGGGGGCGGCGGGTCTGGGGGGGCGGGGGGGGGGGGGGCGGGGGGGAGGGGGCAGGCGGGAGCGGCGGGGTGAGCGGCGGGCACCGGGCGGCGATGAAGGCGTGGGCCGGCGGGGGGAGGGGGGGGGGGGGGGCGCGAGGGGGGGACGGGAGGGCGGGGCGGGGGGGGGGGGGGGGAATACCTTCGAGTCGTGCCACATTAAGCGGAAGGCGTTCTGGAATATATGATAATCACAAAGATGGGCTTGGTCTGAGTTTTTTCCATTTCATTTTTCTTTGCAGGACACTAACACGGAAGATGGCATTTCTGATTATCACGCCTAACTCTGTCACGGGCCGTATAACGGTGCCGTGCTGAGATTCCTTTATCGCTTGCGTACCCGGAGTGCGGAACCCTACGGCCCGACATGGAAGATTCGGATTGGAAGGGCGCTTTCTGGACAAGTACGCTTCTGGGCATTCGATCATTTTATCATATGTCGCTTCATTTCACTTATTATTGTTTTAATTTGCTTTTTTCCGTTTGTCAATTGAAATGTTATTTTACCAATATATTTTAGTCTCATTAAGTTATACAAGGGGGGTTGCAAAAAAGAACGCATGTGGATTTTACTAGCATAGCATCAGTGGTGCGGAGGGGTAATGTGCGCCGCGGGGGACCTGTTAGTTTCGTAGCGTAGAGCGTCCAGTTTAGTAGCAATGGCTGGTTGGACGGCGCATCATTGCGTTTTTGCAGTTGCACGTTTCTCAAATGTAATTGACTCTGGAGATCACAGTTCAACGGCAACACACTTCAATGTTCCGCGAAATTGTTGACGATACCCTGATTCGCAACACCGACATATACCGTTGGGTTGTCTCTTGTCGCGCAACTGAATCAGTCGTGAATCCAGAAGTCGCCTGGTTGTCCGCGCACGGTGCGCGCGTCGGAAAATGTCAGCGACAGCGTAAAGGCCCATTCACAATGCAAACGTAAACATAAACATAGCGCATTGACAATACATTAACATAACTGATAGACCGAAGTATTTACAATGTCTAACATAAACGTAAGCAAAATTAGAGTTTCTATTGACCATAAGACATTCTGGTTTACTAATGGTTGGATGTGAGAATCAGTTTCAAGGTATCGGCTGTGTCCATGGCCCATATGGCGTTAGTTCTTCTATCGACTTCGCGCCAATTTCGATTCTTGATTTTCAGTCACCGTTCTGTGGTTGGTCATGTCTTACTTAAGCATAAGCACAGAAGCCTGAAGCTTGCAAGCTTTTAAATTAACGTCTTACGTTTTATGCTTATTCGAACGCATTGTGAATGAGTCCAGTTCTGGACGTAGCCCTAACTTTTATGTTAACGCCATGCTTACGTTTGTGTTTGCATTGTGAATGGGCCTTAACAGCGCCTGATCTCCAAAGTCATCGCCTCTCCGCGTAGGATGCGGAGGACTGCGGGCTTGTCTCGTCACTCGCTGCAGCGCACCCTGACGGAAGAGGCACAATTTCATCCTTACAAAATTATGATCGTACAGAAGTTTCACAACCCTGGTTGTGATGAACGGGGAGGATTTTGTGGGAGAATGCTCGATGTTCTTGCTACTAATGATGTTCTGTTGATGATAAGCGATGAAACGCGCTTTCACTTGATTAAGTGCACAAACAAAACTCTCGCTATTGAACAACAGATAAACCAAATGAATTTGATCAAAAACCACTACACAGTGAAAAACTGGCGGTGTGGTGTGGAGGGTTCAAAGTTGGTATCGTTGGGTCTTATATTTTGAAAAAGACGCTGTTAGTGTAACACTGAATGCTGTAAGTTATGTTGCAATGCTACGAATTTCATGTAGCCACAACCGGACACATTAGGGAGACCTATGGCAGAGAGGTTCCAATAAGAATGGAGCCACACGTCTAAATGATCTCATTGCTCGAGAAATGTTTTTTTCACCACGTTTACCACTTCACCACGTTTCGCCAGTGTCTACTGACTAGCACGCAAGCTTTGTCGGTTTGCTACTTCTTATAGGGTTACTTAAAAAGTGAAATGTACTGCAACAAACCTGGTACACTCAATGATCTGAAAGTTATAATACGGTAAGAATTTGCTGTTATTTCGCATGACACGTTGAGGAAAGCGATGTCGACCTTCGCAGAAAGAATTCACAAATAAGGTCGCCATCTGTCAGACGTTATTAATAAAACGTCATAATTAAAAAATTAGGTACATTACCAATTGTAGTAAAGTGAGTACAATTTGTATGTTGTCAAAATAAAGCAAATTATGCTAGTTTGACATGCGTTCTTTTTGCTCCACCTATGTATTCAAATAATAATTAATGGGCTTCACATGTTTCTTTTAACCTTGATAGAGATCCTAAGTGGACTGAAGTAGACGCAGACACTAGGAAGAAATTGGAATATGCGAATGACGAGGATGGACAGTTCTTCATGAAAGCAGCACATTTCAAGAAAAGTTTTTCAGAATTCACGATGGCATCACCATGTCCTAACTTTGGTGATTTTTATGGAACACCTACCCAGCAAGTAAGAAACAGAAACAACATACAAAAACAAAAACCCCTACTTCAAATATAAATTATGTAAAAATTTATTTGCAAACTGAAATAAAAATTAGTTTAATTTTTCAAAACGTGTATCTCCAATGCACTTCTGCTATTCTGCACAAATTTTTAAATACGATTGTCTGAGTTACTAATTCTTCGTTTATGTCTACATTATGACATATAGCTTTACTTTTCTTTCTTCAGATTTACATCATCAAGAACGTTTGGGAAGAAGGAATTTCTCTAGAAGGTGATGGCATCGAATACGCAGAGAATTTTCTAAGAAATCCACAGTATCTTCTCACTGTAGAGGAGTTAGGTGTGTAGTGGTGAAAGAGAAGCGTTTGAAACTTCTCGTCTTTTCCGTTCCGCACCCCAAATTGTCATTTTAGGAATCTTTCCACACAAACAACACTTTTAATATAACTTGTATTTAATTGGATGAATATGTTTTAAAATGAATGTGTATCGTACATGAAATAAGTAATAATTACTTATTCATTGTCATTACTTTGGGAAAATAACGAATATCGTTTAGGACTGACGAAGAAATGTAGAAGTGATCGATATGCATGAATAAAAAAGCAATCCGTAGATCTTTCTAAATTTATATGGTCTCACAACACCTTATTAATTATACTAGTTATTAATGTAAATATGGTAAATGAACTTTACTGTTTAAAAAACAGTAAATTCAAAATCTGATTAAATGACAATTTCACGAAATCATCAAAAAATTAAATAATTCCGTTTATTAACTAATATTTTTACTTTCTCACTTCGGAGGAGAGATAATGTAATGTAATTCTGTGTGAAAAAACCGCGAATTATCGTCTGAAAAACTCTTTTGTAAGGCCCTCGTAACGAAAAACTGGGTTAATCGAGTTGCTAAATTTAGGGGGGGAAATCCTAACACATTATGTAGCCAGAATCCACGTTTTGCGAGTCCTTAATACCGAAAAATCGAATGACGGCAATACTTTTGTCAGTGCTTTTGTCCTTCCGTCCGTCCCTCTGTCCCTCTCACAGTCCGTACGTTCGTCCCTCCGACTCTCCGTCAGTCCGTCTTTAAACAACGCTAGCAGCTAATTGTTCAGCTGATTTTCTCTAAAATTGATAGTCCCTAATCGATTCAGCTGATGTTACAGCTCTTTGAATTTGAAATCTATATTTTATTTTTTGGTGTTACTTTATACGCGACTCCTGGAAGATTTTCCAAAGTTTCAAACAATGGCGCCATTATTTTTTTATTACATTTTGTTGGGTACTGTGAAGGATGTTCAAGAGAAAGGCGCAGATCTCATGTTCGATAGATTTTTAAACATGATCATGCAGAATTCTTTGAAAATTTGAGTACTTTTTCCTTACTTTTAAATTAAAATATGGACAGACAGTACGTGCTGTTTCAGCACCACAAGTTTAATATTTAATTTGAATACAACGTATATAAAATTGTAGTTACTTGTACTTAAATAATATTACAAATGTGAAATTATTATTGTTCCTTAGATAAAGAAAATGACAATACTAGCGAAGAAGAAGATCAAATATATCCAATCTATGACATTATTATTCAGGTTGTGCAAGATCAAAATAGATCCAAGTACGAATCCGAACAAAGTGGTATTGGTGTTACTGTTTTCCAGGTACGTACGCTTGTGCGTTTAATGTTTTTGTGTTTGTGGTGGGGCTTATGAATTCACTGATATCTATGTGTATTATTAGATATGTAAATAATATACACTTCATAAAGCTTGTATTTCAATTGTCATAATACTCATTAACTTATCATAAACTTAGTATTTCGAATCTATTCATTCATTTTATTTTTCTCTGTTCATATGGATGTGCGACAAAATATAGACACCTTGAAATTCTGCACTGTTAAAAATTGAGCTATGAAGTTATTCACAAAAGTATGTGTATTATATTACGAGAGAAATGAATTGTGTATTTTAGCTGTTTTATTTTATATACCGTTGCTTGGCTTTGATACCCACACAATTAAAAACTAGCCATTTTTCAGGGGTAAAGCTTGGTAACAATATAGCGACACATTTTATATTTAGCGATAAACTGCTAACAACAGAAATATGACGGTTTACGGAATAAATCTTTCCTAAGGAAGTACTTTTTTTACAGAAAAGACAAACGATATTTTTGTTGTGCTACTAGCAAAGCAAAGCAGCGATATGTCAAAATGTAGTACATTAGTCCCACGACCGTCATGATGGATCAAAACTAATGGCACTAAACAGAGGGGCGCAGACTTTTGCGTGTAAGTTCTATTCTCTCGAGTCCAGGCTAGCTTTTCAGTTTTGTCTCACCCTCTTCCCTGCTGCTACTTATCGACGCGAGGGACCCTTTACATCGCTCCACTCATCAACGCTTCCGAGTGGCGCGTACACTGGCAAAGCATTGGTTTATATTGAGGTACTCACAAGTGTGAGAATCGCGCTACTGTGGCGGTCAGTGACGAACTCTCGCCAGCAGCAACGCATTCGCGAGTCCGCACCAGAGCCAGTAGAACAGTTTTAAATGGCAGCGTTCACACTAGCCGCGCCTCTGAACCGGGTTTTGCCTGCAGCCACCCTTTCGGTCGTCTGGACCCACAGCGGTGTATATGAACACCTCTTCTCCGCGTCAGTGAGGTCAGCAGTGGTTGTGTCTGCAGAATGCTGCCGCTTCTCAGTGGGCCAACCAGTGGCTCCGTGTGAAGCACTCCAAATGCCTACCATAACCTCTCGCTGTACCTGCCGTAAACGTGGTATGGCATATATATATATATATATATATATATATATTATATATATATTATATATATTATATATATAATAGGTAATTATTACAAACAATTAGCTTACTTGATCCCATGTGGTAGGAAGGCTTTAAGCCATTACAATACTACATCCTTTCGCGTTCTAATCTTTCGAATTCTGGTATTCACCCAAATGGTCTCTCCACCGCGTCAAAGCGCGGAAAGACCAGTAAGGTACGGCTCAGGAAAAAAACCCCTGAAGGGGGAAAACCTGCCGTCAGAAGCGAATACATACTAATCTATCCGACGTTTATTTTAACTATTATTTTCTGGCGTGGGCGTCCCTCCATCCCCTTCCAGTGCTTGGCCCTCAGCACCTGAAATCAAAGCGCGACAGAAGATCGTTGCGCACAGCGACTCTGCCCTTATATTTTCGATCCCCCCTTACCTTCCCCCTAATGTGCTTATTACTATTCCAGTTTTATTTTAATTATTATATTGACCTTACATATTTTTAGCTTATTGACTTATTTATTTCTCTCCAATCTAGGCTCCGCTCAAGATAACCGGTGCTGTTTTCCCACTCCCTAATTTCATTTTCCCAAATAAAAATATAATTTGGGACTTCATTTTTGGATTTTAACAATGCCTTAATATTTAGAGTTTTCTGAATCAATTGTAAAATATACTCTTTACATATTTTTGTGTTTGCGTATTATGAGACTAAGAATTTGGAAGACTCTCTTGAAAGAGCCCATCCAAATGGTTGTGGATTTCACCAAATGAAATTATCATAATAAAAGGTCATTATTTAATGTTGCATGCACTGCACAGTTTTTTCTAAGGCTACGAGTATTTACATAGAATGTGTGTTTTGTTTAGTTGCTAGTTTTGACGACTTGACTTGGTTGAATGCTTTTGTCTCTCGTGTGTTAATGGAACGGTGACATCACAAAAAATTTCTGTTTGTGGTTCATTTGTCTCATTATTTCCACAACTTAAAAAATAAACTTAACTTTTCAAGGGTGGCACGAACGTGCAAACTGAGAACGTGTTTGTGTGGAATTGAAATGTGTTTCTTACTTTAGAATTTCAGCATAAAAATTAATAAATAGGTGTACAAAACTTACGCTAAAGTTTAAATTTTCTGAAATTAACAAAAAATATCCAAAAACATAATTCTGGCTGTAAATACTTAACACGTGTCCATCAATAATATACAGAAGTATTGTAGTACCAGGTACAATATTTTCTGAGACAATGAGTCCAATGTACAGCCTAATTAATTTTTTAAATATAATATTTTCCCCCAAAGGTCGTCTTCATTTTCCGTCGAATGTTCAAATCTTTCCAGAAAAACTACCACATTTTCCGATTGTCAGAACATTCACATGTATGCTGTGAACCCCGAAAATTATTTTTGGATATTTGTTGTTATTAAAAAAACTACTCTTAGATCTAAATTTTATTTGGGAATGAATTCCACTTGCAGACTGGGGGCAGATTCCCGGAGGAACTGAACGCTGAAAATTTTGAAGAGTTTGAGCCGCTCAAAGGATCCAAGGACACCATTAACCGGTGCAGCGTTATTGCCAAATTGAAGCTGAAATCTGGCAAGTACATCGTTGTTCCATTCATTTTCGATTCAGGTATCGGACGTCCATTTCTTATGCGTGTGTACAGCAGCAGACCTATCATCATTGAACCAATCGAACACGAATAAGTGTTGGGTCAAATCACCAGTACATTACTGCAATGCCATTATTAATATTTTCAGATAATTCTTTAAATACAAAATAATGGAAAATAAAGAATTTATGTACGTTGTAATATGCACCAGAAGAAGGTATATAAGACTACAAGATCTCCAAGTTTGAAAAAATGGAAAGCTCCCAATTATTGTCTTTCTCATTTTGTAATTAATATGGCATCTACTAACGCAGGGCCCACTGCTGTCATTCTTTTTCTCGGGAAAAAGACCACCTCAACATTAAAAATAAAAATACACTATGTTTAAAACAGGTAAATGAATAAAAAACAACAAATATTCGCGATTAATTATGAAACAAAATTTTCACAATTCATATTTCAACTGAAAAAAATTATTAAAATATGTGGCAAAATGTTTTATTACAGGTTCAACATTAAATACAAAAGAAAACAAAATGCATACTTTAAATGCATCCCTTTTTCAGCTATCACCCTGTAGCGTCTTAACCACACGTGACATTTGAATAATTAGCACAATGACGCTACCTTATGTTTTGATAACTACTTGCCTGGAGATAAGCTACATAAATAAAAAGACACAAATTAGAAAAGTGTCTGGAATATTTGTTTTGTGCTCGAATTCTGTGTATAAATAAGAAAAATCATTGGTACTTTTACATACGCCATCTGTTGTACTCGCTTCTTGTGCTCTTGAATATATCGTTTTAATAATAAGTATTTTAATATTTGCACATCGAAGAGGGATTTTAGAAACTCAACGGAAATACATTTTACGGCCCTTAATCTCCGATGCATTAAAGCAAATTTTCATTTCAAGGGTTTTTTAATGGAACTTACTGAGATGGAGTACTTCGGTGGGAGAGAGTGTGACTGTTTGAAAATTCAGTGTTTGCTTAGGCTACGTTTTCCAGAATTTCTCTTTAAATTGGCTCGCAAATGTTCATCAACCTTGATATTAACATTACCACTTCAACAGCAAATCACTACTTACACCCGTGAGTTGCTCATCCCCCTTGCACTTGGCATTCGTCACTTCCAAAAATATTTAACTTCGACATGTTACTAAAAAGTAACCATCTTAACGAACATGAGGGATCGTGCACTAGCTTCTTAAACCCAATTTAGCGGGTCCACCACCGACTGAGGGCAGTGAATTTACGAGGGGCTTCCTGAGAAAATCCATTGTCGCTGCAGCATTGCTGACCGAGAGGTCGTAAGATTCCAACGCCTGTGATGGAGTTTCGACGCTACTTACGAAGTGAGGTGTAATTCAGCCGCAGTATGTAGGCTAATTCTAGCTGCCAACAGCTTTAATCGGTGGTTTTTCACGGTGTCACCGATCAACACCATTTGAATGTCGTTAAAACATAATGACGAGCAACAGATCGCGCGCGATCTTCCCTTCATTCTTTACATAGCATCTACACACATATTTACATGCACAGCAGTACCACAAATGTCGGGAGACCAATCGAGAGTTTAGACTCTGAACTTTAGAGCTTAATCCGTCTGAGAGGACAGTGCTGTATCGGTAGATATATTTACTTTATTCTACTCAAATGAGAGTCAGAAAAGTCGTTTCAATCTCCAAGTAATTGTAAAAACACACCAAAGGCCATATTAATTATAATACTATATACAGAAACTTCAATGAACGTAAATTCATTAATTTATTGAATTTATTGATATGCACAAATGTTCTCTTACCTCTGTCTAGTTAAAGAGCTTTTATAAATAATATTGTTCAATAAATGTTAATTATAATTTATATTACTAAAATGTATGCATTTTATTTGTGGTTGTATTCATATCGGAAGTTTTACATTCGTAATTGACAGTGTTCTCAGGAAATTAATTACAAATGTAGAAAACCAGTATCAATAAAAGTTTCTTATTATGAATACATCGCTTGTCTTTATTTACGTAAATGAATATTTTTGATCTTTGCATTCCAAACCATTTCTTTCAGACGCTCTTTCTTCATAAAAGAGCGTCTGAGATTAAAAATCTCGTTCTCAATAACAATAGTCATTTTGCTCCTAATATAATTGCAAAACTTTTCTTTGAGTGACAAAAGGTTTGTGATATCAGAGAGTATGGACGAAACAAAATTATTTTCAAAATCTATATTTAGCTCTGAGTATTTGTAATCCCTGAAATGCAAAGGTTTCTAATTTATTTTTTCTCGATTTCCATTATAAAAATATTTTTTTAAACTCATGAATATAAAGTAAGTTAATTAGTTATAACGACATTGTTTTAAGATTTTTTATATAACTTCAACGTTTATTTCACTGGTCAAAAGACACCTTATTTACATGTTACGTAAGTAGCTATCAAGAAACTTGAGTACATTGAAATAACTACTAATGCATCTTCTACCGAAATTTTTTCTTAGAAATAACGTTTTAACAGTTTTGTGTACCTACAGATAATTGGTATTTTTCAATGCTTTAATTTTCCAAATTTAAAATAGAATATTCTTTCTGAATTATTTTGGAATATTCGCTTTTGCAAAGGACAGAAATGAATACTTGTAGATACAATATAAATATCAATCAATTTTCACTTCGTTTGTGAATATAAATAGGGCTACGACGAAAAATTCTACATTTACAGTATCAAAAAAACCGTATGTGCAATTTGCGATTTTCTCGACTAATTAACTAACTTCACTTGCACAAGGACATATGAGCCGTTATTTCATACGCTACGTACTAGTACGCTCCCATAAGCCACACACGTTATTTGTAATCTTGGCAACACTTCCGGAACAATGCCGCGAAATCAGGCTTCTCATTAACAGCATTATAACCCTCACAATGTAAGAATAGACTATATCTTGTTCCTGATGAGGTAGATGAGCGAACATAACAATGTTTCCGTCAGAAGTTACTGCAGCTGCACACCCACGAATCGTCGCACCAAGAGTTGGTAGTCTCAACGGGCACTGCAAAGATGCTACTAACGGTAAGAACTTTTTGAATCTAATTAACAGAATATGTTAGAATGTTATTTTTATAATATAATGATGAGAGCAACAATATACTGCATACATGACAGGTATTGATTATCTTCTAATGAACCATTTTACTCTCTCAGAGAATAAAAATATTTTTAGTGTATTACAAAAACCTGACAGATTTTTTACTTCAAGTACACTTTTTCTGGGTATATTTTTATTTCTGGATATAGACAGACAGTAATGAATACTGAAGATTTTTCATATAATGGCTTTTGATTTGAATGAATTTTGCACAAATTTTCCACATTTTGAAAATGTTGAATATATTTTTGATATGAATATGAAGAAAAGCGACTTCCCCCTCACGGAAGCCATCTTTGAATAGAGTAGTACTTTCACGAGATCACCTTGAGCCTAAGTAGAGCCACTCATCTCAATAACGTATAAATTGTATACAGTTCCTACGAATAACTACGTGACTCGTACCCCCGGTAAACTTCCAGCAACAACTTTGAAATTAAAGAATGCTATGTGTTATTGCTCTATCTGAATAACTATAAAATAATTTAGAAGTCAATTCTACGTGCTTCCAGAAACGTTTAATTTACTTTAGAAGATCTCAATAGTGTTTAGTCATTTACAAAATGCTGAAATAGTGCGCACTTCAATTTTGTTTTATGGGGTGAGAAAATGAAATGTAGATGGTTTTCGCAAATCTCGAGTAGACAGTATTCTTTCTCTTGTTTTGAATAAAAAACTTAATGAATTTCAGACTAAAACTATAAATTCTATAAAAATAGTCAAATTCTTCTTCACACAGTCAAAAAGTTAACCAAAAAATTAGCTTGAATTGTGCTCGACATTACATTGCATTAAAAATCCCAATGAAATCTATTTAACTGTTTTTGAATTAACCCAGCCTAGACACACAGACAGATCTAAAGAGAGAGACAAGAACTTAAAAACAATTGAAAGTGTTTTATACATAGCATTTATTCGTTAATAAGGAGGAAATTTATTTTAAATAACAGATACTTTTATTTTCCTTATATAATTCAAGATTCTGCACAATTTTAACTGCCCAAACTGTGGAGTGGGTTTTTCAGAAAAGCGAAACCGCTAAAAAAATAATAAAGGTCCAAAATCGCCTCGTTTAAAATAGTATGCCTTAAAAAACAATGCGGGGCTCCTGAGGACAACACGAAAACAGAATTCAAAAGATGCCTATTCGGTCGTCCGGATGGCCAGCTCGTTGAAGTAGTAGTGCCGTGGCGATCTCGGTCTGAAGGATCGTGAGTTGTTCGAGTGCTGCCACGGGCATGGCTGCATTTATGTTCCTCCTTTCACCCCTCACCATCACAATCACCATGTCACTTCAAACTGTTAACCCTATTCTTAATCTACAGTGGTCAGTGATGACCTATCTGTTAATGCGACCTTAATTTTTTTTAAATAAAATAAAAACGGCGCACACTTCCATGACATGCATGGTGTAACGTAAATTGTGGATTATATGTATGCCCACAGATTTCTTCGTTGCAAAATCTATAAAATTCTGCATTTTTTGTATTGAATCTGTTTGGCACATTTCCTATCCTTCAGTAGAACATTTATGGGGTTTGGTGGCTATAGAGACTAATAAATACAACAAAAATACCACTATTCCGTAGGAAATTAGAGTATATATTAGAGTACAAGAAACACTAACAGTAGAACTCCTCAGTGTAACCCGAGTACTTTTCAGAATCACGAAAAAAAAATTGAATTATTTTTGTAAGATTGAAGTAATTTTATTTCCATCACGACCGTCTCCTTCACACTCAGACATATTTCCCTCTAAACGCTTCCCTCCCTTTCCGTTCATCTTCACCCGGCCGCGTGCCCCCCCCCCTCCCACACACACACAGTGTCATGGACAGGTTTACGGCTAGAAGCATTGCGGAGAGGATATTTTCATAATTTCTTGCATTTTATCACAGGATTATCATCACACATTGTCAGTTGACCATCGAAGTGATGTATTATGTTGAGACACGATCGTACTAGGGGGTCTTCTTTATAACGCGTTGAGTTGTCTGCTCTTCAAGCATCGTTACTTTCATTTTATTCATACTCACAATTCATTAGAGTTCATGCTTTATAGAAATTCTATGGAATAAAAGTAGTACGCATCAATGCATTGCATTCTTCTCAAACTCAAAACTTAATAAAACGCTTTAACATTCTTCAGGAAGGATGCTTACCTACTACTGATTGTCTACGTCAAATTATTTCATAAATTGCCTGAATTCTGCAGACTTCTTTTTTAATTTCTACACAGGAAAAAGAGAAGAGGATGATGGGGAAGCTGGTGAAGGATCAGAAATACGTGGACAACGAATTCTCTTTGGAATCAGATGGAGTGGAACGGAAGCGACCCCACGTAAGCTACATCACTTAAATTTGAGTTTTGAAATACAATTAAAATAATTTTAAATGAAATAACCGTATAATTGTAATTATTATTCGAGTAAGTTTTTAGTAGATCAATATCTGAATCTTGAAACATACTATACTTAAATTAATATTTTAAAAAATGTTTTGAATAATTTTACTACCACCTAATATATTATGTATTATACGTGTACATGTTGATATTTATAAAATATTTCAATTACATTTTCAGAATCATGTTTAACCGTATGATCAAAATGTTCGATTATTTCGATTGTCTTTATAGTAGTGAATGTAGTATTATTTTCTGACGTAGCATTTCTACAGGTCTTCGTTTTGTGCGATGTAACCGCAATGTGTCAAATGATTAAACTATTATTTGTTTGTATGATTTATACTTTTGTATAATTCATTGACATGTGCTATTTCTAGCCCCAAAGATAAAATGAAATTGCCATTACCATTAGTTGCAAAATACACCCTTATCCTTGTTTTATTACTTGTGGCACGTTAAAAGAAAAGGTGAACAGTGTTTATCTATTGGGCTGCTCGTTAAATATACTCATAAAATAATTATTTTCATTATTTACCATTGTATTTCAGTCCATATTGGCATTAGCCAATATCTACCTGATTGCAGCACTGCAGGTGTCTAAACTTCATATTGGGTGAATCATATGCGAACGGAGAATGAGACTTTACGGGTGCGAGTGAGAACACATTTGTGAAGGAAATATCTCGCGAGATCCATGGCCGTTTTTAAGGTACTGCACGGCAACCGCAATCGACATTAAACATATTATATTAATACTCCATCTCGACATAGCGAAAATTAGTATCCCCAAAAGTACTAAACGGTCTACACTCACGGTGACATTATTTCATACGAAATAAGAAAGTTACAGTAAACTGAGAAGGAAATGGTCAGAAGCGACATGTCGAAACAAGCCTTAATATTTTTCTATGAGTGTTTCTGATGAGAAAAGTAAGCACATAGCATTTGATCTTAAAATATACACTCAATGTATTTTTTTAAACTTCGAACATCATCAGTTATGCCACACAATACATCTTGGATCGCGGGTCCGTGCAGCCCTAGTTCTTAATGCCAAAGAGAGACGTGAAATGCTAGAAGTTTGTTTCTTGAAAAATAAAGCAAAATTGAACGACTGACATTGAAAAATAATTGCAAAGTAGCTCGAAGAATTATTAAAATAGTTGTTTCTGAGAACAATATTTATGGTAACAAAAAAGCAAAATATATTAATTCTACATTTTCTTTTTCCAAAAGTGTGTAATAAGAAATTGAAAATGTGTCTAATACAAATTTGTGATACTGTTTATAGTGGCTTCATACAAGTATTTTCATTTTTTGTCAAAACAAAACTTCACCTATCTTGTTTAAAATGCATTCGTAACGGCTGAATGATGTTCTGGCATTCATCTACAGAAGTAATTGGTTACCGTTATATACCAAACAATATCAGTTTTTATATAAAATATAAATTGCCTTTGTAGCATATTCAGTGATTTTTACGAGTTGTTCAATTGCACTTCTCACCCACATCACCTATGTTTTTACAGTTTTTTGACGACATGGAATTAGAATAAATAAACATTTATTGAAAGAAATTACAACATATTGATCGCATCACATTCTAAAGAAGTATTTGCAAAGCCTCAGTGGAAATTTCATTGAAAGGTTTTGAATTCTGTATCCCCAATTGAGTTGTGTATTTTTCTCAGCAGGATGTAGGAAGCACGATGAGACAATACTGTGTAAGCATGAAAATTGTTTGTTACGCTGAAGGTGACTTAAGCAAGCACGTGATTGCGATTTCTTCTGCTTTGCAAACATCCGTTTCTCTTTTATTTCGAGGACGCAATTTCCGAGAAGCGGGCAGTAAGTTAGACCCGGTGGTTATAGAAGCGCAGTATTACGTTGCTCTGCTTAATGTAAAAGTGGTCGCGCTGCGTAAGGAATACGCTTCCTTGCAATTCTTAGATTCTCATGTACGGAATTTTCATTGCTCAGTAACGCTGATATCTGACATCCTACCGCTAGTCCTTGCTCTTTCGTCTGCGTATCCTTCGTGGTTTTCGCGTCTGATTAACTTTGAGCCATCTGTTTTCGTTTTGTTGTGTAACTTATATTAACGTGCGCGTTTTCTTAAGACCCGGAATATCTACCCCCACTCCTTTACTCACATTAGTTGAATTGAGAACAAAGGTTAGAGATGAGCGTTGTTGAGAAAATTAATTACCAGGAATGTGTCACTCCTTCATTAAGTTATTAAGCATCGAAAAAAGGGCTAAAGATTTGATGTAACAGTCCTGTCTTTGAAACACCACGCGGCTCCTCTCACATCTAGCGAAATGGTCGCTCAAGAAAATGTGCAAGGATATAGCCGATATGCCGCGCACCAATATTATAATTTTCCATGCTTGAAATAGAAAGTACGCTCAGCATTATCCACGCTCTTCTAAAGTCAAAATATCTTATTTGAGATGAAATAACATGATCCAAAATCATGTAAGTTTTGTGTAATTTGATGTAGGTGAGGAATCTTGAAAATCTGAAACAGAATTCCAGATCTCTCTGGAAGATGACTCGCCTCATAGGAAATCGGAAAATATCCATACACGACCACATTCAAAAATGTAGAAGGAAATATGAAAAATATTAAACAATATTTATAGCGATGAATAGCATCTGATTACTTGTCTCTTATAATAGTAGAGAAACCTCTCTACTACGCAAAAACAATTTTTCGAAAACTATTTATATTATTTATTTGTGGGAAAGGGGCGCCCAGAAAAGTAAATAATTCAGAATACTACAAATGTTTTTTAAAAAATCAAATTTCAAAAACTTCTATGATAACTCATTGGTTTCCAGTTAATTTTATTAAAATAGTTAGTTAAATTGGAAAATGTTCTAAAAATATTTTCAAGTAATGGAATTTGAAAGAGTTATTCTATAGTGGTTGGCCCATATTTTACTGGAACGAAAGAGGTACTTTTCAAGCGATTATTATCCACTCATCTTCCTAATTTTAAAATGGCCAGGGGTTCTACGTTATCAGATATTATTAATTTAATATAAATACGAATTCAAGAACACACATGACACTGAAATGTTTCGTTCTACTATATGCATCTACTATATTTAACAATGTCAATAAATCATGTAACAGGAGCTCACCGCCAAACCGGAACTGTTTATTGATGGTCCTAGCCACATGGATGTAAAACAAGAAGGCTTGGGCGATTGCTGGTTTTTGTGTGTTGCTTCAGTTATTGCACAACATCCACATCTCATTCATCAGGTGAAAAATCACGAAACATTATTTTTGTAATATTTGTTACTAATAAAAATGTTGAGTATTTAACTCACTTTTGAAAATAGTAATAAAGGAGGGAAGGGAAAAAAGCCCATCCTTAACTAAAGAAAGTCATTATGCAAAACTAAACCAACAGGATACTAATACTGTATAATGTAGGTTGAAAGTATTGTTAATAGAATTATTTATATGTACACTCTTTGTCACGTTCACATTGCGAAAGCAGTTAAGCAAAAATTAATCTCCTCGTTGTCCAGTAATGCTCTTTTGCAACAGGATACGCATCAGTATTTACGAATAAATGTATTTAGTAATACTTAAATATTTGTCCAAATAAATTGTAATGATGTATGTATACGAGTCATTCCACTTCAAATCGCACACTTACAGAACATCACTATTTTTTAGCGACCTGAAACTTTTTATTGTGTCTGGGATTGAAAATAGGTAACAAAAGTTGAAAAATCTAGGACGTCAATTTGTGCGATTTGACGTGGAATCACCATATCTGTTTATATTTTACCGAATAATTCTTGTGTAAGGAAACATGTTAAAAATTAACTGAAATGTAATGTGCCATTCATATCTTTCGAGACAGAGAAAGCACCGCTAAACAAATTTCTTCTTACAACTTTTGATGGTTTATATATTGGCAAGATAATATCCCATTACAGATATCTAGTATTTTATTGTTTTAGGATATGATGTAATGTGTAGTAATTTCTTGCTATTGAGTGTAGTAATTTTGTGTAATGTGTAGTAATTTTTGCTTTTGTTGGTTTTTGTGTAACTTTGTGTAAACAAATTTAATATATCTTATTTTCTTAAAGTGTAGTTGGGAAAGGTTTGCTGAGAAAGAAAAAGATACAAGGGTGTATGCAAAATAATTTAACTGGTTTACCTTTTAAATCATTTTGATTTAATTTCTCTGTTTTTTTTGGTCTATCTGAGTATTTTGGGTGATTTTGAATAGTTACTTCGGTTTTTTTGTTAATTTTTTAAACGTTTTTTGTCTGCGTGTGTTTCTGAGAGCGCGTGCGAATGTAGCACATGCGAGCTGATCCCACCTCTTCTTGCGAGGATACGAAGCCAGAGTGGACTAGCAACTAGCTCCACATGAACATTCATTATCTCCTGGTACCTCAGGTTGTGTGCTAAGGGATTTCTTAATAGAAGCTACTTCGTAGAATGACGAAAATGTCGTCCAGTATTTACACTGAAGTTTTAATTTAAATATATTTAAATTACTAAAAATGACTCGCTTCTTGTAATTGTAAAAAAATAATAATAATAAATATAAACGATAAATAAAGATAAAATCACTATCATAATCCCACAATATAAACAAAAACAATATATATAAAACTCATTTCTCAAGTTTACAGCTATAATTCCATATCTATGCGTATCGCATTAGTAAAAATTGATTAAAAATTATATCTTAAAATTAATCAATTTTAAGATCAATTTTAATCAAGAGTTTGGCCTATTCCCCAAACATCCAGGTTTTAAACGTTTCTGCCAATATTGACAAGAATAATGCAGTGTAGTTTTAGACAAAAATTGTGTTCTTAAGTAATCAAAATAATTATTTTATTTTTGATTAAATTTCATAACTTGCAATATAATTTTTTGTAGATTATTCCAAGGGACCAATATCTTTATGGAAACGAATATCAAGGAATATTGGCTTTTCGTTTCTGGAATTTAGGCCAGTGGAAAACTGTGTATATTGATGACACTCTGCCACTTGATGAAAATGGTGAACTTATCTACAGCAGGTGCACCAAAAGCAATGAATTCTGGCTACCCCTTTTGGAGAAAGCGTTTGCCAAGTAAGTTCTATTTATAACGTCTAAACCCATGACGGTCATTCTATTCGCCTACTTTGCTTCCCTGTAGGCACCTGCAACCTTCCTCCACGAGAAAGATCATAGAATGGCAGCTGAAATGTTCTCACCTGTGCCAACGGGGACAAGTAGTTTCTGACACCTGAAACCAACGCTCTCACATCTGCAGATCTTTCAGACTAAAGAAAAACCTTCTTCCCTAAGGATTGATTCTTGAATTTGTATAAATAAGTACATATATACAATCCGGACACGTGAGAAAGCTGTGCACTTGTAAATAATAATTGTATGAAATCTGAAAATTGATTTAAAGTAGCACCTAACTGCGAACGCCCATCCCCGAAATATGTTTCACACAATTAGAGGCCCGGTACTGTGCGAGAGAAACCTTTTCAATACTGCTGAGCGTTGAGAATTAAAAAGTACTCGTACAGATAATAAAATAGTCCCTTTAACTTCATCGTGAAATATCCTTTCGGTATTTTACTTCAATGTCATTTTAAAATGATGAGGTCGTATTTAGTAGAATACTGCTTAAGTACATAATTCGGGTCCAATCTGTGTCCACTGTCCCCAATCTATCCTTCACCTGCTAGCAGTCTGTCCCTCATCATTTCCCCATTTGCCATCTACCGCCCCTCTCTTCTGTCCGAATTTACTTGTACCTGAAAAAAGTTGTACCCCCTTGGAAGACGCAAACCTGGTTCAGAAAGCCTAGGACGCATCGCTTCCGAGTTAATAGCGATTATAATATGTGTTGCAATAATATTTTGTTTCTGCAGGTCAAAATCTGCAAATTGCTATTTCTTGTCTTCTGAAATAGTGTTCTATGTAGGTGAGGTGTCATTCTCTATCAACCAGTATCACATTGACAAGGTTTTATTCGATTGTGCTTTATAAAATGCCAAAAACAATCGTTTTTCCCTAGCATGTGCGCTAGCAAGCTTTAAAAAAAGATACTTTGTAACAACATTCCAAAGTGAAAATATTACTGGGTGCTACAACAATGTATACAATGGTTTAATAAACACTAAAATAAGTGCAAAGACTGTTACAGACATTTTCAAAGCATATTAGAAGCCAAGGGGATTCAAAAGCAGGATAATGGTAAAAATTATTTTTATTTTTTTAACTCTAGCCAAGCAGTCGAAAACATCTTAAGTAAATTCAAAATGCTATACAATTATTGCAAGCCTGCTTTAGGGTTATAAGACACAGTAAAAGTTTTTCGTTATTCTTTTTCAAAAAAAAATTGCGTTTGAATTTGCCACTGAGAAAATATAAAATATATTATTCTGAAAGTATAAATTATTTTCTTATTTTTCAATCAGATGAAATAGTACTAAAATGACGATAAAGTATGAAAAAAGGTTTTTGGCTCTAGAAGGGTGTGATGGTGGGTTGGGGGTCTAAGAAATCTTACAATTTTTTTAATGTTTAGTGCAGAGAGTTGTTACATTTAAGTGCAACAAAACCATTATTTTTTGGGAACATGTATTTTTTAATTTGCATGTATTTTTGAGTGAATGTGATTATATTGTAATTTTCAGATTCCATGGAAGTTACAGCGTCATTGAAGGAGGATTTTCTAGTGAGGCGTTTTTGTGTCTCTCCGGTTACATCACTAAAGAGTATAGGTGTAGCAGATTCGACCATCGTCAGTTGCATGACCTGTTTGATATGGAGATTCAGCACAATTCTCTCATCGCGACTGGATCAATGGTGAGAACGTATGCTGGGGTTTAAGCCCTGCGTTAGTAATCGATACACAAGTTAAAGTCCGTGGTGCACCTTTTCAGATGCATAGGTGTTTTTATACAATTAGAGAATATACCGAACATCAGAAAGGAAAGAAATATTAATTTTAACAATGATATTTAATGCACCATTTGGTCTGTATAATTCTAAACAACCTGTAACATGAGTTGTACTTCAGCTTCTAGATCAATATTCACCATCTCAATCAGGTTTTTCGACCGGTTTTCCGGAACTTTTGAGCGAATGCTGACAAAGCTCTGGAGCGGTGCCTCGCTGGTGGGAGATACCTGGTTGTGGAAAACCCCGCTAGCCGACGGGTAGGTCGGCGTCGGATCGCACCATTCGGCGGGGGAAGAGCACTGCCACCTCCCAAAAAATGTGTACTGCGTTTACGGGACTAGTGGCCTCAGCAGTTGACGCTCGCTTAATCACTAATCAATCGAAACTCTGGTAGAAGTTGAGATTTCCGTAGTGGTAGTGAGTGTTTTTGGGTCTTTTAAATCTGTCAAATCATTTACCTAGTGTGATAAAATTTACTCAATAATGAAGTTGACATGACGTAAGGTCGCATGTCGGGAGAACATTGGAATATTTCCTCAAAAAACTCAAAAAATTGAAGTCCACAGCAAGACCATTTAATTTTTTTTATGTAAATGTCTCCTTGAGTCTGGCATCTCTTCAAGGTCCACAACCCTCCAGCACACGCGCCATGGGCATAGTCTGCGAACTAGATGTTCCAAGCTGCAGTGAACTAGAATGCGATGTATCACTTTGAGTATATCTTTGTTACAAGGTTCAAGCTTCAAGTCGATAGTTATAACTATAAGAATATATTAAAATTAAAGACATTTTCTTCTAAGTACAGACTGTAACAACGCCTACGTGAACGTCTGTTTGCTGACGCTGTTGAGTGGATCGATTTCAGAAAATTGCATTTATCACATTTTGGAAGACCTGTTTTAGCCTCCAATACTCAACTCTGAACAAGACAAATTTCGGTTTATTATTACTGTAATCTGGGTATTCATTAAAGTAATTAAAAGTATCCGGACACGCGGCTGAAAATAACTCACCAGTTTGTTGCATCCTCCATCGGTAATGCTGGAATTCAATAACGTGTTGGCCCATCCTTAGCCTTGATGACAGCTTCCACTCTCGCAGGCGTACTTTCAAACAGGTGCTGGAAGCTTTCTTGGGGAATGGCAGCCCATTCTTCATGAGGTGCTGCACTGAGGAGAGGTATCGATGTAGGGTGATGAGGCCTGGCACAAAGTCGGCGTTCCAAAACATTCCAAAGGTGTTCTATAGGATTTAAATGAATCGCAATTGTCAAATAAATTAAACTTTAAGTTGTTTGTATGATTTTTACTTTTGTATAATTCATTGACATGCGATATTTTACCCCCAAAGATAAAAATGAAATTCCCTTACATTATTTACAAAATACTCCCTTATTCCTTGTTTATTACTTGTGACACGTTAAAAGAAAAGTAACAGGTTTATCTATTGGGCAGCACGTTAAATATACTCATAAAATAATCATTTTCATTATTTTACCATTGTTATTTCAGCCATTTTGCATTAGCCAACATCTACCTGCTGCTGCACATGCAGGTGTCTAAACTTTCATGTATGGTGAATCATATGCGAACGGAAATGAACCTTACCGGGTGTGAGTAGAACACATTTTGAAGAAATATCTCGCGAGATCCATGGCCGTTTTTAAGTACTACACGGCAACCGCAATCGAACATTAAATATATTATATTATTTACTCCATCACAACATACGAAAATAGTATCCCCAATAGTACTAAACGGTCCTACACTCACGTGACATTATTTCATACGAAATAAGAAAGTGTACAGTAAACTGAAGAAAGAAAGTCAGCAAGCGACATTTCGAAACAAGGCCTTAAATTTTATATGAGTGTTCCGAGGAGAAAAAGTAAGCACATCGCATTTGAGCGTAATAACACTGAATGATATTTTTTTTTAAACCTCGAACATCATCAGTTATGGCACCACAATAATCTTGATCGCGTCTCTTGCATCGCATCTTTGCCTGCAGCCCTATTCTAATGCCAGAGAGAACGTGAAATGCTAGGAAGTTTGTTCTTGAAAAATAAAGGCAAAATTGAAACGACTGACATTGAAAAATATTGCAAAAGTAGCTCGAAAATATTAAAATAGTTTCTGAAACAAATTTTATGCGTAACAAAAAGCAAAATATATTTCATTCACATATCTTTTTCCAAAAAGTGTATTAAAGAAATTTGGAAAATGTGTTCTATAAACAAAATTGTGATACTGTTTATATGTCTTCATACAGTATTTTCATTTTGTCAAAAACAAAAACTTCACCTATCTGTTTAAAATGCATTCGTAACGCCGAATAGTTCTGGCGTTCAGTCTACAGAAGTAATTTGGTCACCATTATATACCAAACAATATCAGAGGTAGAGGGTTTTTTATATAAAAATAAATTGCCTCTGTAGTCATATTTCCATTATTTTACGAGATGTTCAATTGCACTTTCTCACCCACATCACCTATGTTTTTTAAACAGTTTGACGCATGGAATTTAGAAAAATACACATTTATTGAAAGAAAATTACAGACAATTGATCGCCAAATTCACATTTCTAAAGAAGTATTTGCAAAGCCTCAGTGGAATTTCATTTGAAAGGTTTTTAATTCGTATCCCCAAATGAGTTGTGTATTTTCTCAGCGCAGGATGTAGGAAGCACGATGAGGACAATACTTGTAAGCATGAAAATTGTTTGTTTTACGGCTGAAAGGGTGAACTTAAGCAAGCACGTGATTTGCGATTCTTCTGCTTTGCAAACATCCCCGTTTCTCTTTTATTCGAGACGCAATCCGAGAAGCGGGCAGTAAGTTAGACCGTGGTTATAGAAGCGCAGTATTACGTTGCTCTGCTTAATGTAAAAGTGGTCGCGCTGCTAAGAATAGCGCTTCCTTGCAATTTCGTGTTAGAGTTCTCAGGTGTAGCGGAATTTCGATTGCCCCTCAGTAACGCTGATATCTGTACCATCTACCGCTAGTCCATTGCTCTTTCGTCTGCGTATCCTTCGTGGTTTTCGCGTTTTGATTAAACTTTGACCATCTGTTTCGATTTTGTTGTGTTAACTTATATTAACGTGCGCGTTTTCTTAAGACCCGGAGATATCTACCCCACCTTTACTTCACAGATTTTGAAATTGGAACAAAGCGTTAGAGATGAAGCGTTGTTGAGAAAATTAATTAACCAGAATGTGTCACTCCTTCATAAGTTATTAGAGCATCGAAAAAAGGCTAAAGATTGATGTAACAGGTCCTGTCTTTGAAAACACCCCCCCCACGCGCTCCTCCACATCTAGCGAAATGGTCGCCTCAAGGAAAATGTGCAAGGAGTATACCGATATGCGCGCGACCCAATTATTTATAATTTTTCCATGCTTCAAATAGAAAGTACGCTCAGCATTTATCCACCGCTTTCTAAAGTCAAAATATCTTATTTGAGATGAATAACATGATCCAAAATCATGTAACTTTTGTGTAATTTGATATAGTGAGGGTACTTGAAAAACTGAAACAGAATTCAGATCCCTTTGGGAAATGACTCGCCTCGATAGTAAATCGAAATATCATACATTTATCAACGACCACATTCAGAAAATGTAGAAGGAAATATGAAAAATATGGAAAACAAATTTAATAGCGATTAATAGCATCTGATACTGGACTCTCATCAATAGTAAGAAAAATCTCTCTACTACGCAAAAAACTTTTTTTTTTTAATTTTTATCATTATTATTTATTTGTGAGAAAGGGCGCCCAGAAAAGTAAATAATTTGTAGAAATACTACAAATGTTTTAAAAAAAAATCAAATTTCAAGAAGTTCATATGAAAAACTCATCGCGTTTCCAAGTTAATTTTGTTAAAAAAGTTAGTTAATTGAAAATGTTTAAAAATATTTTCGAAGTAATGAATTTGCAAGGTGTTATTCTATAGTCTGTTTGCGCCCATATGTTTACTGAAACGAAAGAGGGTTACTCTCCAAAGTGATTATTACCCACACATTCTTCCTAATTCTAGAAATGGCCAGAGGTTCTACATTATCAGAATAATATTAATTTAATATAAAATACGAATTCAAGAACCACACAATGACACTGAAATGTTTCGTTCTACTATTTTTCATCACTATAGTTTAACAATGTCAAATTAGAATCATGAACAGGAGCTCACCGCCAAACCGGAACTGTTTATTGAGTCCCTAGCCCATGGATGCTAAAACAAAAGGCCTGGGCGATTTGCTGTTTTTTGTGTGTTGCATTCAGTTATTGCACAACATCCACATCTCATTCATCAGGTGAAAAATCACGAAACATTATTTTGTAATATTTGTTACTAATAAAATGGTTAGTAGTTTATTTAACTCACTTTTGAAAATAGTAATAAAGAGCGAGGAAAAAAAAGCCCATCCCTTAACATAAGAAATTCATTATTGCAAAACTAAACCCAACAGGCATACTAATACTGTATAATGTAGTGAAAGTATTGTTAATAGAATGTATTAATAGTTACACTTCTTGTGCACGTTCACATGTTGCCGAAAGCAGTTAAGCAAAAATTAATCTTCCTCGTTGTCCAGTAATGCTCTTTTGCAACAGGAGACGCATCAGTATACGAATAAATGTATTTATAAACTTAAATATTGTCAAATAAATTTGTAATGATGTAATGTATACGAGTCATTCCACTTCAAATCGCACACACAGAACATCACTATTTTTTAGCAGACCTGAAACTTTTGTATTTTGTCTGGGATTGAAAATAGGTAACAAAAGTTGAAAAGCTAGGACGTCCAATTTGCTCGATTTACTGGAATCACCAATCTGTTTATTATTTTTACCGAATAAATTTCTTGTGTATAGGAAACATGTTAAAAATTAACTGAA